TTTTCCTAACTTTTATGATTAATAATCGTACGGTAACCATAAGATCGTTTTTTTGAATTTGCTGTTACTGTGATTGTTGTGACAAAATTTTTTTGCGTATATATGTTATTTTATCTGCTATGAAAATTTCTAGCCAAGAAAAATTTGACCAACAAAAATCTGACCACAACAGTGGAAAAAACGAAAAAACTACTGGCTGGAAAATAACAGTAATGTAACGCTCATGCATATATAAGTAACAAATGTGACTGGAAAAAAAAAAACGCAGAACAAAAGTGGATAGATATCCAGTGAAAGGGAGTAAAATTGTACTGGATGATTGAGATAATGGCGAATTGTGATTATGTTTCGATTACGAATTAGCGGATGATATGAATGAAAGAAGCGGAAAAAAATGATAAGAATGGTAAGCGTGAATGATAAGAAAATCGCAAGCATGAATGATAAGAAAATTGCAAGCATGAATGATAAGAAAATGATAAGCATGGTGATAACGATTCGGATCCTATCTCGTCCCAGCTGTGGTTCAACAAAATCTGACGGATAAACGATTCTACTCTTACTTATGGCAATCAGCCGCTAATAAGATTGTTATACAGTATTTCTGTATCAGTATTTTTTTACTTTTTTTTTGCCAAAAATCTAGAGGATTTCACATTCTGGCGCATAAATTTACCGCATAAACATAGGGGAATCTTCAGCATTTGGCATGTGAATATGTCCAGATCGAAAAAATTATAGCAAAAGCGACAAAATGTTTCATCATCAATGAGAAGTGGGGATTTTAAGCGAAGCTGTTGACTGTGTCTGAGATGATTTTTATCGCTGCTCTGAGTTCCGATTCAGTGATAATCAGCGGTGGTGCAAATCGGATTGTATCGCCATGCGTATTTTTCGCCAATAAACCGTTATCTTTTAGCTTCAGACATACTTTCCATGCATCAACTTCTAAAAATTTTTTATTTTTTGCTAAAATTTATATTTTTAAAAATTTTGAATTCTGTGAGAGAAAAAATAATTCTTTCGAAACAAAAATTTTTTGCAAAAATTTTTTGTAAGAGGCGAAAAATCCACCAAAAAACCATCAGCAGCGCGTACTGTTAGCAAAGTTTTATTACTCAAGTCATTTTCAAATACCTCAGCTTCTTCGTAAAAAAATTTGGGCCGAAAACGAAAGAGTGGGGAAAAGGTGTGCGGGGAAAGAGTGGGAACGGGGAAAGGAGGATTATAGTGGCGTCAAATTTTCGGCGAAAAAATCTTAAAAAATTTACTTTTTTGCTAAAAAAACTTACTTTTTTTCAGTACGATTGCGCAAAGAAGCCCTTTGCCACGCACAACAGAGACAACCGATTTCGGTAGCTTTCGCAACTCATCCATCAAAATTTTACCCATTTTCGCAGCATTTTCGGGCAATTTTTCATCAAGTACTACCTGAACAAGAACAACTCTGTTTCCGCTTTGGGCAACAAGTTATTGCATTGTATGGTTTTTTCTGAACTCTAACAGCAAGAACAGGTCCAATTGTGGTAACGGTAAAAAATGTATACGACTTAATGGACTGGAACATATCTTATCTATTACAATTATTTCTAAACTTCCAAATCCCTTTTCCACTTTTTTCATCGTTTTTCTTCCTTCCTTCATTTTTCTATTTCATCACTTTCTTTTTATCCTTTAATAGATTGTTTTTGCAAATTACCTTAACAGATTCCATGGCTATTTTAGCTGCCAGTGGATTGCCACCATATGTGGAACCATGCTGTCCTGGTTTGATATTCAGCATTATTTCATCATCGCATAGGGCTGCCGAAATCTTAAAAAACGCAAAAAAGAAAATCCCAAATATTAAATTTTAAAAATGTAAGTTAAAATTCTATCCTTACTTCATCCGCTATAAAAGGCAGAAGTAATCCGAAGTAGCCTGATTTAGACCATTTTGTCAAAAGTAATCACCCGCTGGATTAAGCCCATCGTTAAAGAAACCCTTTTTTTGGATGCCTAACAGCTTTCTGAAGACAATGCGATACTTTACCACACAAATACCAATTTATTAGTAATCCCTATCGCTGAAATAGCGCAGGAAGTGGCTTGCAAATCAGTTACACGGCTGTTCAGTACATAGTGGGTAGAAGGCTGTACTGGTGATTCCAGCTCCTACCCGGATGCAAAGTTCGATTAGTGTTTATAGCTAAGGGATGAAACACACAGACAGGGCTGCATCGTAAAATGTCTTCTTACACGTGACACTTAAGTCCAATCCTTCTATTCTACTATTCCTTATAGCTGATTTGCGTTTGGAAGAAGATCGACTTATAGAAAAGCAAAACACTCGCTGACAAGGCTACAGATGTATCGAGTTCCAAGTACTAAATGCAACCCCCCCCCCCTTCCCAACTCATATTCAGTGAAGATTTCACTCACTGGATATGTCCCGCCGGACAGTGCCTTTCCAAGCGTAACAATGTCTGGCCGTACATTTTCATGGTGCGAACATAATAATCTGAAAAATAAAATATGCATAAAAACGCAGTCATAAACAAAATTTAATTTCAACCAAAAAGCCGGTTTCTCTGTTGTATTTTTAACTGTATATTTAGTTACAGTTCTATAAAATTTGTTTTTAGGGTAGTCATGTTTTTACCAAAATACACTCAAAAGATAAATTCACTAACAGCCTTGCAGTTTCCGCCAATCGGCCCCTTGTAGAAAAATGTAAATTTGACAATAGGCATGATCTTGGGAGAAAAGGACCAGCAAAATGCACCCGCTTCTGAGCTTGCTATAAAATTGAGTGTTTTTCATGCCAGTGGTTGTTTGCTGTTGAAAACAAATGCTACCCGCTAGGTTACTTTCAATGACCTTCGTCCCCTGTAGAAATAGTAAAGATTAGCAAGAATCGCTTCAATTCAGCGGATTGGCAAAAGCGGTACTGCAATTTCCCTGCGCAATTTTGTGTAAACCTAAAGAATTTTAGTCATTCGTAGCTTCATCTAAGCATCAACTGTCCTTCGCCCCCCCC